CAATATTTCAATGGTATGTGTGTCTATTCTATCGAGTTGTTTTTGTTCAGAGCCAGTCACATGCAGTATAAGCCTCTTTTCCATCTCTCAACAGCAAAGGATTTTGGTAAACGATGTGTCGAAAGATACCAAATTTTATAAAGGAAAAACGAATCACGAACGTTATATATACGTTCCAGAGCCGCTGCTTTAAAAAATGGTGGCTGATTTAAAGAATATTAGGCCAATAATTTGAGGATCGAAACGGGAAATCCATTGCGAAAAATGTGAGAAAAGTTTTTATTTTTTTAACTTGTATATATGGGTCCAGACATGTAAACAACGAAATTGCAAACGCGGGGCACCAAGATAAAACTTTTTACAGCCAAAAAGTCAAATTTTATCAATATTTTTTTGTTTTTTCACCTATACCTCCTAAACGATGCATCAAATCGAAAAATGTTCTCTTTAATGAATTAAAGAACGTTAAATGTTGCGTCGAAAGACTACATAAACTTTATAATTTCAATAAACATCTAGTTTTACTTAAACATTTTAATTACGAACGTATTTTTAATTACGAACGTATATATAATTTGCCTATAATAAAAATGTTTAAGCAAAATTAGATGTTTATTGAAATTATAAAGTTTATGTAGTCTTTCGACGCAACATTTAACGTTCTTTAATTCATTAAAGAGAACATTTTTCGCTTTGATGTATCGTTTAGGAGGTATAGGTGAAAAAACAAAAAAATATTGATAAAATTTGACTTTTTTGGCTGTAAAAAGTGTTATCTTGGTGCCCCGCGTTTGCAATTTCGTTGTTTACATGTCTGGACCCATATATACAAGTTAAAAAAATAAAAACTTTTCTCACATTTTTCGCAATGGATTTCCCGTTTCGATCCTCAAATTATTGGCCTAATATTCTTTAAATCAGCCACCATTTTTTAAAGCAGCGGCTCTGGAACGGCAGATAAAGTTCTTTTTACTGAGAATAACATACACATTCTTAATTTACAATCAACCCATCGCCTGCGATCAGGTCGATTTTTGGGCCCTGGCTATAAACTATACGCAGCATAATGGTAAATTTGGCAAGAAAACTGGCCAAAATTATTTATTAACGCTATTTTTATTTTAATAAAAGGTTAGGATATTTTCTTTTTAAATAGATAAATATAGGTGAATTTCTTAAATTTTAGATATTGTGGGTATAAAATCTTTTATTTACGTATAAGATTTCATGTAAATTTAATTTTAATCATAAAGTTTCTAAATCATAATTTTCTTACGCTTCACTTTCAAATGGCTCTCTTAAGTTTTACTCATAATTTTGAATAGTGTAATTTTTGGCCAGATGTGATTTTTATTTTCTGTTCATAATTGTTATTCTTAAGGAACCTCGTCCCAGAGTAAAGTTTATTTTCTATTCTTTTCTATTCTTCTCTTTCACCACTCTGGCAACTTCATCATTCCACCATTTTGTCATGTTGGTGTTTGGCCCGATCTTTATTTTTCTGTCGTAGAGTTTCAACTGACAACCTATCACATGCCTTTTTCTTAACTTTTCTAGGCTTTATAACCCTTGTGTAAGCAACCAGGAGATTGTGGTCTGTCTCCAGCTCAGCTCCTCTAATGACTTTTATGTCCGTAAAGTTCTACTTGAGGTCTCTACTATAGATAATGTAGTCATTGATGCTTGAACCTTCTTGTCCTTAAACTTCAATAGTTACCTTGTGGATCCTCTTGTGGTTAAAGAAGAAATTTCCTAGGAGGAGGTCATTTGCAATGCAAAAGTCCAGAAGTCTCTGTCCATTGCTATTCTTTGTATCTTTCTCTCCAAATCTACCTATCACACCACGTAACCGATTATGATCTTTCCCGGTCCTTGCATTTAGGTCTTCCATGAAAATAATACTCCTATTTCTAGTATTTGCCGAGTCAACAGTTCGCTGAAGGTCCTCATAGAAGTTCTCCATATATCCGACATTGTTATTCTCTGTAGGAGCATATAATTGAATAGACGTAACTTTTCTCATAGGGAGTTCGATATTCATTACAATGATTCTATCCTCCTCACGTCACTCAGATCCAAGATATCCACTCTATATCTCTTCACCTCCTTAACGAGCTCTGCCTCTTTACCAGTGGGCTTCCTAATATTCCACGTAGCTAATCTTATGTCCTTGCCCATGCAATGTCTTTTCCTTGTTGATCGTAAAATTCCGAGGCTTTGATCTTTGTCGCTTTGAATCTTATTTACTCTGGGTGGGGGATTGGCCCAAGTCCCAAAGGCCCCGTATCCTCGGGACAACTGTCCTCCAGAATATTTATTCCCCCTCCGGAGGAAGTGTGGCCGGGCTATACCCCACGACGCTGGGTTCCCCAACCTTGTGGGCTGGTGGCTGTTTACAGTCCAAGAACTGGGCGATGAGGTCTCCACATCTCTACGCCTCGTATTCTGTAGCATGGAATGTAAATTTTATAGTGCGGAGTCAAATGTGTTTTAGTGATGAGAGCAATGTCAGTCCGTTTTTCATATAAATATATGTCAAATTCAGACCTATGTTCATTTATACCGTTAGCGTCCCATAGAAGAACGGACATGGAGCCCACAGTCAACTGATTAGTGGCCAGAACCAGAGGATAAGGCTTGAATAACATGTGATAGCTCCTGGAGAAACCTGGAAAGGGGCTGGTTATTCAATCCATTAAGTTGAAGAACTGAGCTGTAGCTGGGTGATTGCTATTCGGTGACGGCTGCTGGATAATGCTCTTTCTCATTTCTGGATGATCTTGCTGCTGCTGGTTATTTTTTGGTACTTTTGCAGGAACTGTTCGCAGAGGTGGTGCCTGATTTCGGGAATTTGCTTATAAAACAGCTGATTGAAATTGCTGAGTTTCCGGAAGAGCAGGGAACTAGATGTTCTTTAACTTGTTCTGTTCGAATTTCTTGGATATTTTTACGACGGTTACGTGCTTACGTGGGATCCTCCACAATTTGCACATGTCGCTGCGGTCTGTCTTGTTTTTGTATGAGCTGTGCTATCGTGTCCTTGACGAGTGATTACAATAGGTCTTCGTGTGGCCATATTGCTGGCATTAAGAGCACTGAGGAATCGCTCTTTTCATTCTTGATTCTTCAATCTTAACTCTTGTATGATAAAAGTATTCTATTTCGAATTTTTTTTAGTTGAATGTTGATTTGGAGATATCGACAAAAACCTTAGGGAGTGGTGTTTTAAAACGTGAAATAGCATTCACAACACTCGTGGCCTCGTAGCCCATACTGTCAGCTCATCTTTAATAGTATCGATAGGAGTTGCGTGATGCAAGTTTTTTTTTGTACCAATTTGGAATTTTTGTCTTCTTGTAACTGATGGATGTGGGACTGGTGTAGGTGTCAGCACCTACTTTACTCAAGCTAAATACTATTCTTCTTTATATTTCCGCGTTTTCAGGATATACCGCCTACATTATGTAGATATGCCACTAGTTCAGTATAATTCTGAACATCATTTAACTGGATAGGTGGAGGTTTAACAATAATAGGTTGTTTAGTGGAACCTTCAGACTCATCTCGAATATTTGATAAGACTTGATAACTATTTGTTGTAACAGTAGCTACTTCGCTTACCATTTTTAATTTTCTTGGGTCACTATCATTATTCATCCAGTGTTTTCTGCCGGTGACGAGTTCCCAGTTGTCGTCATTATTGTTGTTTTTACAATTTTTAAAAATAAAGTGTTTTAGAAAGAAAAATATATACTCCTGAAGTTTTATTGTAGGACGTTTTCCGTTATTGTTGGCCATTTAATTACACACGACTTTTGATTTTTAACTTGATTTTTTTTTTTCAAATTGGCTTTACTGTTGGTTTTTATTACCTAAGTCCATTATTTATGGCTATCAATAATGCGTTCACTTTTTTTGTAGGAACATCGGTTTTTTTAAAAATATATATATATGAATAGTTAAAAGGAACACAACGATTTGAAATGTATTGGATGTGGGGGGGAAGGAAGGGGGGTCTGGCCCACAGACTATCAGGGCCGGACATATACTCAAGGGCAACTTATCTGGCGATGTTCCCACTACCTTGTTGGGAAATATAATAAATTACATAGCATATGATAAATTTATTTTAGCGTATAGATAAAGCAAGTGTCTTGTAGACTTATCGAATTGAGATCCTGATGGCCGAGCTTTTATATTCTCGAGTCTAACGACACCGGTTCGGATCCGACTTGGGTGTGTTCAAATTATTATTTCGTGATACCTATCCATGAAATGAATCTCGACATTCCCACTAAGCCAGAAGCGGTGAGGCAAGGAGCAATTAAAAAGAGATGTATTGAATCAAATATAATTATAAAAATAAAGTAGAATGCAATCTCCTTCATTGAAACATCATTTTCTTCTAAATTACAATGTTTTGCTAGAGAGGAAGGTTCATAAATCTTTAAGGCTGCTATTGTTATTACGTTGATTGTTTGAATTAGAAGGATAGAAATTGTCAGATACATATGAAACCCAACTATCTTCTGACAAATTATGGTTCTCAATCTAATAGTGTTCACCAATTTTCATCTTGAAAAATATTTTGTCAGGCTTTGTTGGACTTTGACGTTGAAAGATACTCAACCTACAATTAATTCCTTATATAACTACATTATTTGATGTTTTAAAATTATAATACAAAATTAATTTTAAGAATTAAGTTATAAATTTAATTTACTCCTGGGTCATATCTTATGTAATTTAAGAAAAGAGACATACAATTTTCATTGGTAGGATTTTTTAGTTTAATAGCATTTTTTGCTTAATTTTCTCTTTATTTAATGTCAGTGGGTTGTGAAATATGTTATTCCATTATTTTTTGTTATGAGTGAATCAAGATAGTTAAATAATAGAAAAATGAAATATTATTTTAAAAAAACCTTGAAGGGCTAGATAGCCGTTGACGACGCATGCGCAGTGCTTCAGCCCAACAAGAGTTCGGTTAGGAGGTCAGTGTTCGGCCAGCCGTCAAAGTTGCAGCATTAGCTCTACACTCAATCATGGCCAACATGTAAGTACGATCTATAGTATATTTACAAAAAATAAGTCTATCAGTATTTTCTTAATATCTGCCAATTATTCAATTTTCACTGATATTTACTTTAGCATATCTGATGATTAAAAAAAAAAAAAATTAAGTCCTTCAATTTTTTATGTTTACTTCGGGTTCTTAATTTAATATTGCTATTGTCATTTCGTCCTTTCCTGATTCTGTAGGTAATCTTCGATATATAATGCAAACCTGCATGATTTGAAAACGGTTTGTTGAAAGTTCGATTTTGAAAGATTTTAATTTTTTTTCTCAGAATCTATTTACAATCGTATTATATTTTTTTTCTTGATTATGGAGCCAGATGTTAAGTGGCACAAGAGTTATTTTTAGAAAGACTTAATACATCCTTACAGCAGGCCCTTCTTCGTATTCGCTTGTGTGTTTAGTATTTATCCTGTCAATCGTTTTAATATTTATTTGTTCCACTGTATGTTTAGCATCTCTTTATGTTTATTTAGAAAATGATAATCTGTTTAAGACAGAATTTATACTTAAATGGAGACCTAACCGATTTCCCTTACCTGCTGCATTACTCAGCACTATTATTTGTTTCATTTATTTAGAAAGATTCAAATTAGATGCTTCCATTTCTCTTTTTTATTTTTTAAACAAATATTAGTAAATAAATGAAAAAAGTACTGTATCATGTATTTAAGTGCTTTTTGAAATATTGAATTTTTTCTAAACATTTTCTATTTATTTTATTTTCCACCTTAAAGATTTCAAGCCCTACAAACGTTTCAATATCCGCGTTGTTCTTAATACCTGATGAACCTGCCTTTTAAAGTATTGGCGAGTAAATATACTGATCCATCATTAGACTATCTCAGCAGCAGCATAATCTTGCATTTCCATCGGGTTCTACATTAGTACCAAATTTCAGTTTGATCAGACGATTAGAAGTGTGCCGAAATTCCACTATAATATCTAAATGACATCAGTGAAAATGTCTAAGTATATAATTATACATAATAATAAAATTCAAAATGACTAATTCCTTACGACTAATTTCGTTGATTGCTGAAAGATATGTTGAAAATTTGTTAGGATATTGTTGGTATCAAGTTATGTAAGTGACTGCTGGTTGAAGAAAAAACATTATAATTAACGAACAATTTAACGGTGGAAATGTTTTCATTTTGTTTGTTATCTTGTCTTGTTTTTACGACCGAGTGTCTCAATTTTACTTACAGACCTTGAATGAACGTTGAGAAATCTTGAAAGTACACGTCGAAGTATTAATAAAAAACGAGTTAAGCATCGTTTGAATTTTCAAAAGAAACTATGCTAATCGTGATTGTTTCTTGGAAATATAGTGATCATTCTTGGCTGGTACAATAATTTAGTGGTTATCAACCTTGGACTTCCCTAAATTTTGTTTGATTTGCTACGTCTCAAAGAAATTCTCTTGAAGCTGCTTTAAAATCTTTCTCGTATAAAATTTATTTATTACGACAGAGTTGTGTTCAGTTTCTTTAGAAAATATGGTAATCTCATTGTCTATGCAGCTTTATTATATTTATATATTATTAAATTCATATTTATTCTTCTTGTTGGTCTGCCTTCTTCTGGTGCAGCTTAGTGTGATATGCTTATCCATGATCCATAAATTTAGTATAGTGCCATATTTTCAAAGCAATTTTTTTTTTGCATTTCAATCCTTAAAAAGAATTTTTATTAAATTTATTCGGACTATCCATATATACTCAGGCTGGTTGCATTGACACACGACGTATGCCATATGATGCTATTATTTACGGGTGTGGTTTCCAAGTTCAGCTCTACAGTTGAAGACATAATTTTGCATTCCATTATATAATTATTGCCCACGTTAACGATTTCATTTATGTGAAGTTTAAGAGTCTTGTCTAAACATAAGAGAAGTGATTCATAAGTTCTACAATACCTACATTATTAAAAGAGGAAAAAAAAAAAACCGTTTCACTTCATTGCTTTAATTAAATCTATATCGGTCACTAAGATCTGATTGTTAACTACATTAATTTATGTGAACGACGGTGTTGTTTGTTATCACTATCGAATCCTCAAACAAAAGATTTCTTGTTTAAAAAAATTCTCGATAGTACAGTTGAATATTTTAAAATAAATATAATAAAGCCGTTCAACAGGCAATATCAATGACAATGAAGACTTGTCCGCTGTGTCATTAACCTTGCATAAAAGAAGCTTTTATGTGTCTTCGGTCTTTTGTTGCCAGCTGCTTTAAGTGCACGATGCTCTGTGAATTTTTAAATTATCAAGTTAAAGTGTGAAGTGATATTAGCGAAGACATTAAAATAGGAAAAAATACAAATTGAAAAATATTTTTTTTTTTTTTAAATGTGGAAAGCACCATAGGATAGCGCTATCAATTCAAAATTGTTGTTTTGTAAATTACAAGTAAGTTTATAGATTGGAACAGTTGTTTGAAAGACTAGTATAATATTTCCAAAGCTCGATGGAGAATATATTCTACCTGTACTAATATAAATAGATTTTAGTCAGTTGATTTGATTCTGATCAAAAATATTAATTGTAAATAAATGAATGAAGCCTGGAATTAGTTACTAGCCAAGTAGGAATAAAAGTTAAAAAAAATTGTTTTAATCAAAGTTTAATTTTAATTATTATTACTTAGGGATCTGGCTTGTAAAATAATCGAAGTTTACGTTTTTTTAATTTTTGTGCCATATTTATGTATTTAGGTAGTCTATTGTAATTTGTAAATAAAGTAGCGGGAAAGTGAGAAATAAAATATAGAAAAAAAAAAAAATACTTTCGGATATCAGTATTTGAGGGCTGTCGTTGAGATCTTGATAGTAAATCATAGGTTCATACCCTATACTAGAAGATATGCTAAACTTCACTCTCGACAACCAGTTGAAGGGGAGAGAGGGTTGAGCGGGCTAACGCGAGTGCACGGCACAGTGTAAGATAATTAAATAAAGTATAATTATGAGTTCACGTCTCGGGGAGCCATTAATCCCCCGCCCTCACCCTCTGGTCCGGGAGAGCCCGTAAAGTCTAAAAGGCGAGGGAGGGGAGAGCACCAGTTGAAGGGTATATCCTCAACTAATTTAAGGATTATGTTCTCATTTTATAATGACTGAATGCCCTGTAAGAGTGATCGAATAGTCTATCCACGCTTATTATAACGGAAAACTTATTTGTATTTACTGTAATTATCTTAATGCGAGACTCGTTCCTGGGACTGGTTAATAATCTTACCTATATAGGTCTATCCTTCTACCTATCCAATTCTATATACTGAGAAGTGTTTATTTATTACTACAAGGCAATCTCATATAATAAAATATTGAACATAAAAGTCTGTAGTACATTGCTTGATAGTTTTATTACTTGAATTCCATTCAAACCTGTGTTATCGGGTCGCTGTTGGATGACCTCAGTCGACTAATCAAGAAAGTGTATCTAAAAAAACAGATCTAAGAATCGTTCTTAGAAAGGAACGGAATTTGTCTTCATATTACATTACGATTATAAAACCTTATAAAACAAACGAATGGAACCAGGCGTAAATGAATTATCGAAGGATATTGCATTTTAGCTGTATTGGTTATACATCTCTATTTTAATTCATTAAAAACTGAAAATTGTTTGAATTAAAAACTTGTGAATTGATACTATATGCTAACAAACAAATTATAGATTCACAGAATATAAGTTTCATAAAAAAAAACAAAAAAAAAAAACATAACTACTTTATCTACTTATTTTATCTTTAATCCTAAAATGTTTCAGAATAAGTTGAAATAATTCATTTATCTTCCCTTCAACCAAATGTTTATTTATCCTTTCTTCAATGGATTATTGTGTTAAAATGGGAGTGAAAAAAAAAAAATTATTCGAAGTGCCATTCCTAAACAACTCAAAATGTCACACTAGTTACTGCAAAAACTATGAAATATTACGCATTAGGTGTTACATGAAGAAAAAACAAATTGTAATATCTATGGATGAAGTCACTCAATGCTTGCTTAGATTTCTTCACAACCAATTGTAAACCTGTTACTTTTTTGCAGTTATTTATTTATCATATTTAAACGGCCCACATATGAACATATTAACATATAAACTTTAAAAATGTCAGATGAAAAATACGTTTTGATTTTACAGAATATGAAAAAAAAGTATTTAAAGATTCGATATAATCAACAGATATTGTGTATAATTATTCAAAACGGCAACCACAAGACCATAGTGATGTATTATTCGCTTAATGACATTTTAATAAAAACAGATGGATCACTGAAAATCCCTGTTTGTAATTTTAGAAGTAAAGAATTTTAGAAGGTTAGTAGGTATCAAATCTATTCATCCGCTCAAACAATGGTTGAAGTATGATAAATGCCCCGGAAATGCTTCTTGGTGCAAATAGCGAATTTTCTGAAGAATATGAAGAGATGACTGAGGATTACCTTGATAAGTTGAAACTAGATTCAACTGTGCTGCAAATAAATGAGTATGTTGTGAACACGTAGTTCACATTAGTTCTTCTTAAAGAACCAAATATTGACTCTATAGCTCAAAAAAAATAGAAAATGTTGATGATACCGAGTCATAGATAAGACCTGATTGAAAAAAAAAACAGTGATTGGTGTACTGATTTCATGCAAAATGAAAAAAATGTACTGCTTCAGAGATATAAATGAAAGTTTTTGGTTCGAATTCTATAACTACGAAGTGTTCTTGAACCTGTAAAACGGCACTGAAATTGCCCTTGAGAGATTTTGTAAACATACGTAGGAACCTCCATCTCACAATTTAAGCGATACACATCTAGGCAAGTAACGGATTGCTAAGTTTCATTATTGCCTGGAAAAATGTTTTTATGGATAACCTACGAATTTTATTTGTAATTTGCTTAAACTGAAGAATAACAATGCTTATCTTGTTAGAATTTATAGACCCTATCAAAAAAGATGCGTCACTACTCA